AATGTGTAACCAGAAGTAGTTTTCCCAGTTTTATTGAGATATGACTGACATATGGCATGGGGTACAACCTGGTGATTTGATATATGTATTGTGAAATGATCACCACAATAAGTTTAGTTAACATCCATCACCTCACATAGTTACAATTTTTTTCTTATGGTGAGAACTTCTAAGATCTATACTCTTAGCAACTTTCAAATATATGATACTAGTATTGTTAACTTTACTCACCATGCTATATATTACATCACCAGAATTTATCTTATAACTGAAGTTTATACCTTTTGACCCCCTTACCCATTTTGACCCCCACCCTTCTACCTCTGGCAACCGCTAATCCAATTTCTGTATCTGTGATGTCAGTTTTTTAGCTTCCACATGAAAATGATATCATGTGGTATTTGTCCTTCTCTGACTTATTTCACTTAGTCTAATACCCTCAAGTCCACCGATGTTGGTGCAAATGGCAGAATTTCCTTCTCTTTTATGGATGAATAATATTATATTATATTCACATTGTTTGTTTGTTTTTTACCATCCATCCATTGATGGGATACTTAAGCTGTTTCCATGCCTTGGCTATTATAAATAATGCTGCAATGAACATGGGGTTGCAATTGTCTCCTTGACATAGTCATTTCACTTCCTTTGGATAGATACCCAGAATTGGGATTGCTGGATCATATGTTAGTTCTATTTGTAATTTTTTGAGGAAACTGTAGTGGCTGGACCAGTTGGCATTCCCACCAACAGTGCAAAAGGATTCCCTCTTTCCCACATCCTCACCAACATTTGTTATCTCCTATCTTTTTGATAATAGCCTTACATTATGTTTTGTCTGATACTAACATTGTTATAGTGGTTTCCTTTGTTTAGCATTTTCCTGTTATTCCTTTTGCTATCTGTTTACTCTTTTCTTTTTAAACTATGTTTTCTGATGACCAAAGGAATACATATTTATTGTTGACAATACTGAGGAGAAAAATCCAGGAAAAAAAAAATCCAGGATTATTCCATTTAATCCAGGAATAAACACAGTAACATTTTATAATATTCCAGACAATTATCTCCAGGTGGGTATACATAGACATATAAAATGTTTATTTTAAAAACTAATTGTGATCATTTTGTATGTAACTTTTTAAACTTTTTTTTTTTTACTTAACAATTGTCATCATTTCTTCCATTTTTTTTAATACAACATGAAGTTTTTTAATTCTTCATAATTTTCATTATAGAGAAGGTCTTACTTTAAAGTATACTTACTTTAAAGTATACAATTATTTAGAATTTGGCTTTTCTACTTCTTAATAAATATCACTGTACATAAACCATTCCTTTGCTTTTGAAATTTCTATGTGTATCTCTTGTAAAAGTCATTTGGACAAAAAAAAATTCATTGGTCTTATCTGAGAGTGTCATATAGGTGAACTGAATCCCTTTACATTTGGTTTTAGGTACATTTTTCTTACTGTTTCTTTTTAGCTGCTTTTCTATCTTCTATTGGCTTGATAAAATTTTCTGTATTCTGCTTTGCCCTCTGCTGGTTTAGAAGCTATATTGTACTTATATTCTTTTAATTGTGACTTTTAAATTTACTTAGAAGTTATGACTTTTTAAATACAGAATTCATGGGGTGCCTGGGTGTCTCAGTTGGTTGAGTCCAACTCAATTTCTGCTCAGGTCATGATCTCATGGTTGAGAGATTGAGCCCCTTTAGGGCTCCACAGTGAGCATGAAGCCTGCTTAAGATCCTCTCCCTCCCTCTCTCTCTGCCTTTCCCATTTGCTTGTGTGCATGCATGCACGCTCCTAAACAAACAAATACATATCCACTATTTTTTCTTAAAAAATCTGAAATTATCCAGTATCTTTACATGTCTTGAATGAGATAAGGAACTAACATGCCTTAACTACCACTTGAACATCCTCCTGTATGTGATAACTGGGCCACATTTGAAAATCATATTAAGTCTTATATGTCCTTACTGATTTTTTTGGCTCCTTTTCTTCCTGATGGACTTTTTTTTTTTTTTTTTTTGAGAGAGAGCAAGTGAGTCGGGGAGAGGAGCAGAGGTAGAGAGGGAGGTAGGGTGGCAGGGAGGGGAGAGAGAGAGAGAGAGAGAGAGAGACAGAGAGAGAATCTTAAGCAGGCCTCACGCTCAGTGCAGCAGAGCCTGACAAGGGGCTAGATCCTGTGACTGTGAAATAATGACCTGAGCCGAAATCAGGGGTCAGACACTTGACCACTGAGCCACCCAGATGCCCCTCCCCTCTGGACTATTTTTAAGCCAGGTGAAGAGTCATAAGCATTTCAGTATTCATCTTTTTAAAAATAGGTGTTTTATTAAACACACTGTCATTATTATAACAAAACTAAAATAATCACCAATGTCATATAATCCAATTTCATAGTCACTTTTCCCCAGCTGTGTGTTTTGTTTTTTTTTTAATCAAGACCAAACAAGATCCACATTTTACTCCTTCCACTGCTATCTCTGTGGTTATAGTCACATCATCTCTCACAGGAATTCATTATAATAGCTTCCTAACTAGTCTTCTTCCTTCAACTCCCTACCTTTTGAATCTATTTTTCAACACAGCACTCATAATGATCCTTCTCCCCTGAAAACTCTCCAATAAAAGCCAAAAGCTGTACAATGAACTACAAAGTTCCATATAATCTGGTTTTCTGTTAATTTTTCAACCCCATCTCCTGTCACTTTTCCTCCTGTTCACTCCATTCCAGACACACTGGCCTCCTTGAAATATATGAAATGTGCCGAGCATGCTTTCCACAGGGTCATTGTACCTGCTGTTACCTGTGTCTGGAATTCTCTTCCTCAGTTATCTGTGTGATGGTCTCCCTTACTTCTTCAGGTCATTACTTAAGTGTCTTTTAACTGAGCTATTAAAAATTAAGAACTTCCATCTCTTACCCTACCACCCTGAGCATTCCCTATCATTCTTTTTTATTTGTGCATAGCACTTGTTCTCTAACCTACTTTATAGCTTATTTTCTCGTTAGGATAACAACCTCCTAACAATGGTGATTTTTATGTTTCATGTACTGCTATATTTTTAGCATCTAGAACAGTACCTGACATAAAAAACACTCAACAAATGTTGAGTAAATGAATGAATGTCTACTTACCATGTTTCATAACTTTAATTTTTATTCTTTAGTTTGCCTTTCAGGTTCCTGTAACATACTTATCTTAAAGTCCTTTTCAGGCTGTTCTAATATCTTCATCTTGAGTGGATTGAAATTTCAAAAAGTATTGGTTGGCTGTTTGTCTTATCATCCAGTTTCTTCATGCATTTTGAAACTTTGATTTACAGTGGGCATATTCTTTAATTTTTTCTTTCTTTCCTCTGGGTTCATCCTTTCTAGAAGTTTTAAGTTGCCTCCGAATTGTGTCCTAGAGACCTCAATTTAGCCAAGTGTTATATACTAATTCACTGTCTCAATTCTTAGATTTTCTATCACCAATTCTTTGGTGATAACTAGTGTCTTTGATGACACCAGTTACTGAGCAAACCTTGGGCCCACATCTTCCTATGAGCTGGAGCCCCACGTATCACCTGGTGGTAGGTTTTGCTGTTTAGCCTCCTTTCACAAGTGGTGGCTGCAGCAATAGAGAGGAATACCAGCTTGGCATTTACGTAGTGCTCTTTTTGTCCCCTTTTTCATTCTTGTTATTTTTGCCATCAAAAAAAAAAAAAAAAGTTTCACCAGAGGATCATCAATTTTATTCAACTTTTTAAAACCTGCTTGTGGCTTTATTATTCCTTTCCTGTTTTTTGTTCTTTTTTTTTTTTTTTTTTTTTACTATTTTCTTTCTTCTACTTTCCTTACATTTTTAATTTTCTTATCTTCTTGAGATCAACACTTAGTTCAATATATTTGGGGCTTAAAAATTATCTAAAGGTATACATTTCTTTTAAAAAGTACTGTTATTGCATCTTGCAAGCTTTGAAATGTAGTTGCACTTTTAGATCTCACTACCCTGTCAGATTAGAACTTCTGGCTGCAAATTTCTACTCTGGACCTAGAGTCAGGCAGGCTGCTGCTTCAGCATGGTTCAAGGTTTCTTCCTATTTTTTGCCCTTGGATATGTTTTTTGGTTTTGAACCCAATTTTCTTTTTATATTTATCATACTATGCTTCAAACACAGGAGGTGCTTTAGAGCATCCACTCACGATGTTATTTTATAGGAAGTCTCTGTACATCTTTCTTCTACAGCACGTAAGATAAACACATTTTTGATTTTTTCCTTCCACTTATTTAAAACTTTTTTAAGTTCTTATCTACTTAAGTAATCTCTACACACAATGTGGGGCTTGAACTCACAACCCTAAGATCAAGAGCCCTACACTCTTCCAACTGAGCTGGCCAGGTGCCCCATCATTCCATAAATTTAAATAGAACTTTCATGCATTCAAATCTTATCTTGATATAATTTTATCTTATTGTCATTCCTATTACCTCGAATATCAAGTTGCATCAACTGACAGATCCACTTGCATCTTTCCATGTAAGTCTAGACACGTAATGGATGTTTCCAGCAAACTTTGGAGGTCTTTTGTAAACTTAATCTTATATTCAGACAAGTTTCTTCTTAATACTGCCACAGGGGTGTTTCTGTTTCAGGGATTGTTAAACTGTGAGGTTGTAGAGCTCCTCTCCAATTAATTTTTTATTAACAGAACTTAAGTCCTAATTTGTTAAAATCAAAATAGAGACAGATTATCCTCAGACTTTTTAAGGAAACTCAGGGCTCAGTGTTATGTATCAACTTTACAGGGGAAAAAATGCATGTAACAAGACCTATCCAAAAATATTGGTTTGGTCCTCAGTATAAAATTAAATTCCTGGTAAATTATAGGCTGTTGTCCTGGTAAGTGTTTCCTGGAACATTTCCTACCCAAAGCCAAGACTTTCATACCTATAACCTAAGATTGTCCTGTTGAAAGTCAAGCACTTAAAAAAACAGTCGTTTTTCTCTTTGAAAACTAGCTTTATTTAAAAGAATCTGAAGCATAACACTATAGGAACAAAGTTACAATACATATTGTTCAAGAAAGCCTGCCATACATAATTTTTACCAATAGTAGGTCTAAATACTGATAAATAACATTCCTTATACAATGCACAAATGACATTTAGTATGAACCCTGAAAAGAATGGCCAACAATAACATGGACTGTTTTGAAAGTGGAACTTCTACTTGTCTTACTAATTATCCGCAGAATAAAAAAACTAAAATGTGGAAGATAAACTCCTCTTAAATTCTAGCACGGTGCTTAAGGAAGAAATTAAAAGAATCAAAAGAAAAAGATAAATTGGCTTACCACTATTAATAGTAATTATTAAAAATAATTCAGAATTGAGAATTTGTTTTAATACTTGGAAGCCCTTAGACAAACTATCCATTATCTACTATATTCAATCAGTTACCAAGCCAATTTTGCTTCTCTGAAAACTGTAACCTGTACAAAACCATATAAAGAAAATAAACAATTTGGGGGTAACCTAGTCATTTCATACTTGAAATTTTTCCAAAAAGCAATTCCTGAATTAATTAATACTAATACTTCTTAAAACCTCTATGATTTAAATAGAAGCAGACCCATTTCTAAGAGATTGTATGTGAAGGTACCAGGAAAAAATAAATTTCTAACATGTAATTCTCAATTTTTAACCCTCAAAATAGACCCATGAAAACATTAGGGATTCAAATAAAATATAATGGAATTATGCCACAGTATGGTATATGGTATTTTTTAAAATATTAAGAACTGAATCAGATTTATTGCTATGTCAATCCTATCAATAATTGACAACCAAGTGTACAAAATACACCACACAACAACCAAGCCAAAAATGATGCTGTATAGAGATACCATTAACATAACACAGGTAAACATTTATCTTATAGTATATATCACTAATACAGCAAAGCCTTACTCAGGATAGTTTGAACTGATAAAAGTCTAAAAATTTGATTATTTAAAAAGATATGCAGTTTAAGCACTCATGAGCATTCTTTATTTTTCTTTTTCTTTCAAGTATATAATTTCAAAAATACAAATTTGCACTGGCCAAGCATTATCAATTACAATTCTTCTGTGTACTTGTTTTAATGGCAAAAGAATGCTTTTGTATTCTCAAACAAATGCTTTATAAAGCTATGTAGTATTCTTAAATGCTTTATAAAGCTTCACATTTTTCTAAGATTAAACATTTTTCCTTAAAACCTTATGACTTTTATTAACAAATCTTTTCATCAGATAGTACAAAGTAAACACCATTCAAGTCTTTGTACCAATGGTTACAAATTCTAAGTAAATTAGAGGAGTTTTATGGTATTATAATAGTTTCTTAAAAAATGAAGATTAGCATTTCTACTTATTTTGGTTATGAAGAAGTGAATGATATCTTTTGTTGGAAGATATCAGACTAGGTTCAAAGTCTAGAATGTAATTTTAATGATATGGGCTAAAAAAAAAAAGTCCTAATATGTACCACCAATTAAGATAATAATTCCTTAATAAGTTATAACTGTAAGAGGAAAACCAAAATTTTCAGAAGTATTTATTGTATTATGAGTGTTATGAATTGCTAACACCAAATTTTACCGCTCTCTCCCATTTCAAAACATCAGGCCATCTACTAATCCACAAATATTGATGTTTCACATACTTCATAGAGTAGCTTAAACATACCAGCGTAAGAAATAATTAGTATTACATAGTAATTTCCTTTGCCATAGGAATAAATGTTGGACAAAGTCTGGAAACATTTTATTTTCCAATTTGAATTACAGTAATTTTGCCACAGACCACAGCACTAGTGCATGTGTTACTTTAGACATGCTCTAAGAACAAAACAAAAAATTACTGCAAAAATACATGTCACCAATGTGGAACACACTCAGATTTGTATAAAAGTACTGAACTAATATCCCAAAAAGAGGTATATGTAAACAGTACATAAGGAAGAAATAGTTTTAATATGAAACAGTCATTTAAGTCACATACATCATGGTAAGAAGCAGGACTTTCTTTTATAAAAGATATTTTAACTAACAAGCAACATCATCTATATCATCTACAGAACAAGAAAAGTACAGGTATTTAGAATAAGTTTTAATATAATTGCAAGTAATGTATTTTGACAAACTGACAAAGATGAAGCTTATCTCGGGTTTTCATTAAAAATTTTCAATGAAATACAGGCAGCCTCTGACGTATTCATGTCTGGCTTATTGACAGCCATTTTTCATTTCCCCTAGACCATATGTCTTAGGAGCTGTTAATGCCAGCCTTAGCCTCCTTACTCCAGGAGTACCTCTAGACTTCCACTACTGTACCAAAAGTTGGAAAAATGCAGATGTGACTTCTATACTGCTCTACTGGATAAAGAGAATACAGAAAAGGGGGAAGTTACTAAAATGTGGAAATGAGAAGAAACCTCTGAGTTCAAAAGTTGAGGAAACTATGAAAATATCCAAAAACCTAAAGGAAATTGGGAAGTACTCTCAAGACAGGATCCATCAATTTGATAAAAATACTGCTTCCTACAGTACTTGAAATGTGGTCATATTGTCTGAAATCTTAGCTATTAGATAAAACTTCATTCTGAATAAGCAGTCTTAAAAAAATGTTTAATCCCACTTCCTTCACTATCTTCATTTGCATCTCGGTGGAAAACACTTTTTCCTTAAAATCTAGCCAGCCATAACCACAGAAAGAAATGGGAATTTTGATTGGAGGAAAAATATGGAATTTTGGAGCACAGGGCATCCAGTAAGGGAAGAGGCAAGCTGGCTTATATAGCATTCCACCGGAGGGTTTAGGATGTAAGAGGGCAACTAGGAAACACTAACACCAAGAAACTAAACTTACCTGAATCACATCAGGAAAAAGGAAGACCTCTGTTTCTTTCTACCTCCTACACTGATTGGTTCCCTAAAGAAAACTGAGTGTTCAGCATGATACTATCGCTTAACTACATTATGGTTTAAATAAGCCTTTATGAGCTTTCCTAACAATCTAATCATCTTATATAATGTTTCAAACCACTATTTACAAATGAACTTTGGGAGCCTGGATGCTCTTAACTGAACTTTTTAATTAAAAAAAAATCTAAAATAGCACAAATGTTCATGCATATGAAACCTCTATACACTATAAAAAAGAAACTCAAAAATTCTTTAGAGCTCCCTTAGAAAAAACCATTACTTACATATTTTTTTTTTTTTACTATTAAATACAATTACTATAGTATGGACAATAAGTACTAGCACTCTTAATATGTTCAAGACAAACAAGTTTGAAAGAATACTAGATGAAGACTCCTGATACTTATTTGGATGATTAAAGTTAGCAGAATTCATGGTGACCCACACTATTGAGGTTTTTTCCCTACCAGTAGGCAGAGATGGGAGTCTAAAAAAAAAAAAAAAAAAAAAAAAAAAAAGATTGGATTTTTTTATATTGTTACTCTAAGAAGAATAAGCACTATTACAAGAAAATCTTGCTTTATGTACATAATCTAATTTGGATTAACAAGAATCATAATAGCAGTACTCTAAAAGTATTTCACACCAAAGGAAAAAAACACTGATCACAAATCTAATTCTAAGCACTCTATCTGAAGAATAAATTTTCTTTTACAAGCTAAGCCGTTTCAGCATTAGTGAGTCCAGTAGCATCTAGAAGCAGTGAAATGAATAAAAAGTGAGTTCTGAGAAAGGAACTGATGCATTAAAACTATCATGACTAGCTGTCGTGAGAGAGCCTAGTTGCTGAGGGTCAGTCAGGTTAAACTAGACAAAACTTGAGAATGTAAGAGAAACTATGATTTCCTGTTCAATTGTGTGGGTGTGTATGTGGGTGTGTATCTGTGTATATGTGTGCATGCAAGATGAGGCCTTTCAGTGAAAGAAAAGGATTACATAAAAAAATGTGCAATGCTACTGGAAGGCTATTCGACCTATGTACATTTCTTTCTATCAATGAATATTTAAAAATGTTTAGGGAAGCTCATCACTTGTCCTAACAAAGCCGTAACAATATGTTTAATAGCCTTATTTGGGTCAAATTGGACAAATTGGTACCTGGCCATTTTATAGTTCATCATTTTTCCTATCAAAAACTGTCTAGATAATTTTTGACTTAGTGTCATATGGAGACAAATGTGGAACTAGTAAAGAAAAGTACTTCAAAGACATGACAACATTCATGAACTATGATTTTATAGTTTTTCAGTGACTCACTGTCAGTCAACCATGAGTTTTCTTTTGAATATTTACAGATTCTTATTTAAATAAGGTGCTCTGAAGACCTAAATACTTGAATAAAAATTCAACTGTAAGTTTTTAAAAACAACTACTTGGAAATGGAAAAGAATCTCAATATGAATCAAGTATCTTTATACTAGCTTGGGAGAGGTTACTTCACTTTCACCCAACTACTGAAAGTGTAAGCAACAGATGGCTTAAGAAACCACAAAATCAATTTTAACAATAAGTACAACTCAAGTACTACCATGAAAAATGTTAACTCCTGAGGACACTGTAAGGTTCTACTCAATATCTAACTGTATTATCATAAAAAATCATGACCCGATGCTAGGAATAAGCATTTAGCATGCAGTGCATCATTTCTTAAAAATCAGCACTTACTAGGATTTCAAGAACATGACTAGATCCTTAAACATTTAAAAAATTGTGTATCTCTAATAAAAACTATAATGTAAGCAAAATGGGATTTTCAAGTATGCTACTGAACACATCAAATGTCAGAGTCAGCCAAAAATACTGCATTTAACCTGCGTCAACTGGTAAAGATGTCACACAGAGGAGTACCGAGTATTAGAATTTATATCATTTCATTTTCTAAAACTGTAAAGATATATATTTTACAACTATATTGAAAATATTTTGTACTCACCTCTAACTAGTCACAGGTAAATGGAGAAAACCTTCTACTACTTTGTACCATATGAAATTGCTGTTTTTGTAGGTCAAAATTAAAACACTGTATTTAAAAAAATAAGTTTTATTCAATCAAAATATGTATGAGTATTAATAACTTTCTAGTAAGATATTAAATATTTCATTTTAAAAAATTTGTCATTTTTTCAGATATATAAATTGTTCAGATCCTCCAATTACTACTTCTTAATTGGAGAACATGTTGTTTCTTAAAAAAAAAGCTTCAAATGATGAAAACGAAGGTAGTTCATTGGATAAAGGTCTGGTGACTACAATGGACATGACGACATTGAATATCCCAATTGAATTAACTTTGCTTTCGTGGCTTGTGACGTGTGAGGTCAAGTGCTGTCATGTAAAAGTGTGGGCTCATGTTTATTAACCAAAGGACCTTTCTTGATCAAAATTTTCATGCATAATTTTACTTCCTCAGCAATATGCTGCTGCTGTCGTTTCACCAGGGTTTAAGCAATAGTAATTATTCTTTTGCAGATCACCATATGGCCTTCAGAACATTTTTGGTCACAATGATGATGGTGCAAGTTTGGGAGCTTCAAAAATATCCAAATATTGTATAAATTGCTATCAATTGTCATATATAGTATCTTTTTTTTTTTTTTTTTTTGGTCACAGTTCATGATCCACTCTAAAAATATGTTTCTGCTTTTTTGAATCTTAATGAGCACACCTCCAACTGTCTTCATTCTTGATCATCTCCCAGGAGGATGTTCTTGGATTCATCTTTCACCTTTCCCAGTCACAGCAGAAGCTCCTGTCTGCTTCAAGGCCTTGAATTGTTGTTTGTGAGTTAGCTCTCACCCTGGCTCTTAATTGGTCTTTAAGATGGATTCTGATCTCCCCTGAGGCTCATTTTTGAATCTAGATTCCCCAGAACAAGATTTTTCAAACCACCACTGAGTGGTGTTCTTTCCCCAGCGGAGCCTTGTAGGCCCAACTTGATATTTACACCTATCTCATTTGCAGTATTGTCCTGGCTTGAAATCATATTAAAAGAAGTATCCATAATTCTTCTGAGGATACTATATTATTTATTTGTCTGGAAAACAATAAGAAAAAACTCAATAATCAAAGGAAATTGAAGAGTGAAGGGCATAACACTGTTACAATTCTAAATAGCACAACTAGAAACATACTTCACTTCAACTCTACTAATTGCAGTCAATTTTCAACTGATCTAGTATTAGCAATTTCATGTGGTACAATCCACAAGTCAATCAACAAATACTTACTGAGCATCTACTATATGCTAACATCTGTCTCCTATCTGTACAAACAGATATCTTGGAAAGACTGACTTGAAAATAGGAAAGTCATTAATTTCAAGGACCCTAGTGGGGAGAAATCTGGTGTCATACTCTATTATTTTTTAAAACATCCATTAAAATGTATGCTTTCTTCCATGTTACAGCTACATATGCTTTTTTGAAAACATATGTCAAATAGATCCTTGAAAAATTTTTTGAACTGTTTAATGTAATATTGCCAAAGTTCAGCTCTGCAATGTACATTTTTCAATGATTCTAACTTTTAAAAGTCAAAACTTGCCTACATTTGCTATATATTATTTTGAAGCTTCAAGAGGCTTTTATGTTTATGATTAACAACAACAACGACAACTAACATTTATTTGTATAGTACTTTCTAAAGCACCCCCATATACATTATTCTCATTTAAGATAGCAAACAAAGACAATACAAAATTTGCACTGGTAATGAAGTAGAATATTAACAAAAACTGAAAGGTAAATAATCTTTTTGTATGTGCATTTAAAAAAATAATGTAAAACATTAAAATCCTGTGTCACTGAGCCTCTGAAATACACAGGAAAAAAAATCACTTTAACTAATGCCTGTGATTAAGCATCACTGCCCACTGCAGGCGGACCAAAAGTTTCTCGAGTACGCATTAACTGGACATCTTTGTCAGCCATACAGGTATCACAGCCCCATACTGCTGATGCTTCTGCAGTTAGGAGGCCATAAGCTGTTTCAGTCATTCCAGTGCAGATCCGATGAAACCATTTCTGACAAGAGGCTTCACATAAGATGGCATCCTGATCATCATTCACTTCATTTGTACAAATTCCACAAGGATACACTGGGTCAGAAGAAGAATGGCCATGACGGCTTGGGTGGAGAGAGGATTTATTGCTTTTTTCAGTGGTGCATGCATCTGGGGCACCTCTAGGTTGTCGCGGCTTATTCTGCGTCCCATTTGCATGGCTGTTATTTGTAGCTTCTGTGGTACTGGAACGGCTATTCTCTTGATTTACTGCACTGTTTCGATTAACATTTTTTAATTCAATATTACTCTGATTCACTGTGTCATCCATATTTAAGTGAGGTGGATGAGCAGAGGAATTTTGATTAGTGTTTTTGGTTGCTCCTTGACTAAAGTCTTGTTTTTGGGGTGGTGCTTTTGCTTGACCAAAAGTGTTTGGAGGAGGAATAAAAGAATGATTAGATTCTAATGGAGAAGTAAAATTTGAATTATTTCCAGGGACAAAGTTAGATGCCAAGTCAGGGTTAGATACTTGGTTAGTATTCTGTGGAGGAATCTGATTGAAGTTTTCAGCAGGATTTTGTCTAAAATGTTGATTAGGCATGTTAACATTCTGACTTAGTGCATTATTATAAGATGGATTTCCAAAGCTTGAATTATCATGTGGCCCAAAGTTAAAAGCATGAGGTCGATTAAAACCCATGCCCAAAGGATTCTGAGGAAATGGGTGTGGCTGATTCCTGAGTGAGTAAGGACCACAGTATGGGGAAGACATTCTTGGAGGAACGTGAGGTGGCATTCTGAATGTGCTATAGCCTCCAAAGCCAGGATAACCAGGGCCAAGATATGGATTTGATGAAGGTAGTGGTTTATAGGAAATAGTATTATAGTTGTCATCAAATGGATTAGCAGCCACTAGATGGTCAGAGTTTGGATTCGGTGGTGGAGCATACTCAGACAATGGAGGAAAAGAAGGCCCCTGAAATGAGAATGTAGAGTAAAATACATGTTTTGAGTAAAGAAGTCATTAAAATTGTTATCTTAACATGTAAGAACCTAGTTTTAATCAAAATTTTCTGCTATGTCTTATAAAATTTAATTCATCTGACTTTTCAATTCCAAATAAGTTTTATATTTAATTATATTTAATGATTAAAATGTATAGATTTCTTCCATTTAGGAAAGAAAATAAGGCATACTTTTCTGAGCTCAAATTCATTGTTACTTCAAATTTCAAAGGTATTTATTAACCTTCAAAAGAAGCTTAATTACATAATTTGCATTTAATATGCTTAACTTTAGTTCTAGAATTTTTCACTTAAAATTCTAACTAAAAGTACCTGTTACACCCCCCAAAAAACCATAAAATTAAGTAACAATAAACAGGCTCTAAGTTATTTTACTGGCTTAACTTCAGGGAGTAGCTATTAAAGTATTCCCCAAGCACTATGCTCTCGGCCTCAGAATGGAAAAATAAACTTCCAGTTTTAGTCACACTGTAATTTTAAGAGGTGGTGGCCAAAATGGAAAAAAATAATCCTTACACACAAAATACTTACTTGCAGTCTTTAGAATAAAAAGAGTGCTTCAAATTTACAGAAGATAAAGCCACAAAAGCCTGTTTTGCTATTTATTCAACCACATGTTGTACACAAAAGATGCCTCCCCCATGACTGCTCAATGATACGTACATACTACTAAATTATTATAACAGCTAAATATTGCTTAATGCTAAACCTATGTTCATATATTTTAAATATTTTACTAAAACTACAGGCATCTGTGCTGTTTAAGTTAGTTTTAAGAATAAACATTTTAATTTGTCTGCCTACACTTCCCTCTTGCAATATCCACTCTAGGCCTATAGGCCAACCATAGCCACTAGTTACAGAATTAAAAAAAAAAATCACTGCAGAATTCAATATTAGGTTACAAATGAGGAGGGGAAAAAAATCCATGACCAAATTTAAATTTACCTCATTAGCCTGATCGTATCAGTGAACAAAAATGGTTATCAAAGAAAATGTCAATTTACCTGTGTATTTGTCTTGCGTTTTTTCTTATCTGGGCTTCCTAGTTGTACACCTGGTCCTCCTAACCCATCCAGTCCACTATCACCACCTAAAAGCAAATAAAATCCAGATAACATTTCCACTTGTAACTGAAATCATTTTATATCCCTCACAGCAATATCTATCATAATTACCTGTTAATATGAGTTCTGTTTTTGTTAGATAAAAGCGATACTAAGTTTTTAAAAAATATCTTTGCTTTTCAAAAAGTCTTCCCCATAATTTCAGTCAGAAACAGTCATTCATCTCTACTCCCATGGTATTTTTTTACTACTCTTTCATTGAGAAAGAAAGTCTCCATGCCACCCTTGAATCTTTAGTCATCTGGTTTCCTATCCCTGAAAGCAGCCACTAGTTTCTGCTGTATCTTTCAAAAGACAATCTAGATAAAATTCCAATATAGAACCTTTTGTGGGGTGTACACACACGATGGCAGACGTTCTATACACAATGCCACTGTATATTTTCTTTCTACTTGGAAATCATTGCATATCATTACATACTGAACAGCTCCATCCCCTAATAACTCAGTAGTATTTCATAGTATGATTATAATCTAATTCATTGAACTACCCCCTCCCCATTGATGGATATTTAGGTTTCTCCAAACCTTTGCTGTCTGCAATGAAAATCCATGTATAAATGTCTTAAAATACATGTACAAATCATTCCTAGAACTGGAATTAAGGCATTAAAGGAATGTGGCCTTTTAATTCTTAAAGGTATTGCTGAAGTACAATGCACATGAGTATTATTTTCTCAACAGTGTATGATCAAGCAAAAGCAAAAGCTTGACTGAATTCAAGAAGTTAAAGTTTATCAACAGATTTTTTTTCCATTAGAAAAACATTTTTTACTATGGAGGATTCTGGGTCATTTAAAAAGTAGACAGAAGAATAAAGTTATGTACATACATATATAGATACACATTTGTAATAGGTTAATAAATAAGTTCAGTGAGGTGACAATTAGAGGAGACCTGCTCACATATGTGGATTCTGAGAAAGGGGTATTTAAACGGGGACCTAAAGGAGGAAAACAAATCTCTGAGTAAACAGCCTAAGGAAGAGCCTCTAGGCAGAGAACAGCATGTGTCAAGATTCTTAAGTAGAAAGAAGCTTGATGTGTTTGGGAAATTTAAAAGAGGCCAGCGTGTTAAGGGACTCTGGAGAGTGCCACTAGAAAAGGTTAGAGACAGGCAGGGTCCAGATCATTTTAGAGCAGAGTAGACTGTGTCCCACTAAAATTCTTATTTTGAAGCCCTAATGCACAATATGATGATGTTTAGACATAGGGCCGTTGGAAGGTAATGAAGGTTACATCCAGTCATGAGGATCAGGCCCTTATGATGGGATTACTGGCCTTAAGAGAAAGAAGAGGATGCTTGCAGACCCCCTATGAAGTACAAATACAGGAAAGACCATGTAAGGATATGGGCAAGACGGTGGGCATCTGCAAATGAGAAAGAGAGCACTCATCAGGAAGTGAACTGGCTAGCACCTTGATCTTGGACTTCCCAGCCGCCAAACTGTGAGAAAATTAATTTCTGTTGTTTAAGCCACCCAGTCTATGATTTTTGTTCTTGTAGACCATGCAGACTAAGACACAGAGCCTTGTAGCTTATGCTAAGGAACCTGAATTTTATCTGAAGAACAGTGGATGATCATTTAAAGGTTTTGAGTAGGAAAGTGATATGATTTAAGTTTTAAAAATATTATATTAGCAATTGTGTTCAGAATGAATTAGAGATGGGACAGGGGAAAAAGCAGGGAGAATAAATAAACGTTAAAAAAAATTTAAAAAAAAAAAGAGCCTGGGTGGCGCAGTCGGTTAAGCGTCCGACTTCAGCCAGGTCACGATCTCACGGTCCGTGAGTTCGAGCCCCGCGTCAGGCTCTGCGCTGATGGCTCAGAGCCTGGAGCCTGTTTCCGATTCTGTGTCTCCCTCTCTCTCTGCCCCTCCCCTGTTCATGCTCTGTCTGTCTCTGTCCCAAAAATAAATAAACGTTAAAAAAATTAAAAAAAAAAAAAAAAGAAAAAGCAGGGAGACCACTATTTTACAATAATAGTTCAGGAAAAGTAATGGTACTTAGCAATAAAGAGAAATCAGTATGTTGGACATAGTTCAACCACCTAAACAAAATGCAAAACAGATTTCTGTAAGAGCTATTTAGAGAAGTTTAAATACTGTGAAGGTGGAAAACTGACAAACAACAAAATTCAGTAAGGATTCTGGATGTTAAATTAATATTTAATATTAAAAAGCTTTTTTATGTACAAACTAAAACCAGTCAAAAGATACAGCAGAAGAAATGCTTCATTTATAGGAACAAAACTAAACCAAAATGGGTAGCAATAAATTCTAAAAATGTACAAGATCAGTATGAATAAAAACTTTCAAAAGTCCTACACTGAGAGACATAGAGGAAGATTTCTTAAAAGTGGGTAGAGTATTCCCTATTCTGGCTAGCCACCTGGAACAAAATAACATTTTTTTTTTACCTCACTTATTATCCCAAACAGCCCTGTTGTGCCCTCCTCAGAGACATCAGCACCAGGTATTTGAGTCTTAGGCCCACAGGGTCCACATTCCAAGTCCAGAGGCATTAACTAGCCTAAGCAGTACCCCCATTCTCAGATATCTGAGTTTAACCTCCACAGGACCTCTCCTGTGAATTTATATATCCTAATAATTTCAACTTCTTTCCTTTGTCCCACAGCCTTAGGAATGGTAGCTGTTTCCCATAGTTGGTATCTCTGAAAACTTTAGTAGCCTATTTTTGCCACTTCAGTTTAATGTCTATTAACAATACCTTTTTACTAAATTCTTTCTGTTAAAAACAACTGATATGGCCTGGCTAGACACTGACTGATACATACACATCTCAAGTCCCACCAGCCAGAAACTGTCATTACTACTAAGTTAACATTATTCCAGACATCTAGCTTATTATCTACCTACCTACTTTTCCCTCTGTGTATATAGAGCAATAGTAATACCTTTAGAAAGATAGGATACTATTTTTTAAATAAAAGCATTAAATTTTAAGTTAACTAGAAGTTAACAAAGGAAAAAAGAAGTGAAACTAAAGAGTACATTAAATGTTTCTTTACCATAAGAGAAGTTAAAAACAATTTTTTTTAATGTTTATTTACTTTTGGGGGGGTGGGGCGAGCATGCACAAGTAAGGGAGGGACAGAGAAAGAGGGAGACAGAGGATCCCAAGCAGGCTCCATGCTGACAGCCCAAAGTGGGGTTCAAACCCATGAACCCCAAGGTCATGGCCTGAGCTGAAGTGAGATGCTTAACCAATCGAGCCACACAGGCGCTCACACAGTAAGTTTTTTTTTTTTTTTTTTTAATGTTTATTTTATTTTTGAGACAGAGAGAGAGGGAGGGATCCCTAGGAGCAAAGAGAGAGAGGAGAAACAGAAACTGAAGTAGGCTCCAGGTTATGAGCTGCCTGCATAGAGCCTGACGTAGGGCTGGAACTCATGAACCATGAGATCAAAACCTGAGCCTACGTTGAACAAATGCTTAACCAACTGAGCCACCAAGGTGCCCCTGCAATTCACCTTTAATCTGTTGAATTATCATCCTGTCTTTGAGCTCTCATTTTTTTCATTTTTTGTTTTTATTAAGGTCTAGCACTTGAAGTACATGTATTTCCTTCTTTTAGGTTATAGGTCTTCATCTTCTACATGCTATTTCTTTTTTTTTTGTTAGTTCATTAGTTTGCTGTAGTATGTTTGCACAGTTACGCTTTTTTTTTGTTTTTTTTTACGCTTATTATTTTGAGAGAGAGAGAGAGAAAGAGAGAAAGCACACATGCGCATATGTAGGTGGGGGACAGGCAGAGAGAGAATCCTAAGCAGATTCTGCACTGTTGGTGTAGGAGCTCAGTGCAGGGCTCAAACTCATGAACTGTTAGATAATGACCTGAGCTGAAATTGGACGCTTAACCGACTGAGCCACCCAGGTGCCTCTGCTTTTATTTTTATCTTACAATCCTGCCTAGATCTTTTACTTGCTCTGATTTAACATAGGTGACTTTCTGACTTTCTTCTATTGGTTATATGCTATATCTATTGAGATAATCATGTGATTTTTTTTTCCCTTTAAATTATTTTAGTGTTCAACTCAAGAATGACATTCCTGAAATAAAGCTACCTTACTCACTTTTATATGTTATCATTTTTATATGACTGAACATACTAATATCTTTTTAGAATGCTTGCCTATATTAGTAAGATTAACCTGTTGTGTTTCCTTGGAACATCCAGGTTCTTAATTCTGACTTTTTGTTAAGTGCACATCTACCTAGTTGGGGGGTTGAGTAACCCATTCACATGGGATGGTTTCCCTGTGTTCTCTGATTCAGTGTATTCCTGGAGACTTGTACCACAGATTAGTCTTTAAAAAAAAAAAAAAAAAAAAAAACAACTTTTTGTTTTACTCATTTTTTCCTTACTGAAAAGAATGAGAAGATAAGAGTACTCATTGAATTTGCTTCTCCCCAGACTTGGGGTTATTAGTAAGAATTCTCAAAATTCTGTAAATCATCAGTAGCTTCCAAGGGCAGACAGTGCATTCTGGGCTGTTTCTACTTTTTGGTTACTAAGAATAATGCTGCTGAATATTTATGTACAAGTTTGTTTTTTTTTTTTTTAATATATGAACATGTTTTCAATTATCTGGGGTATATAGCTAGTAATTGAATCACTGGGCTATATGGTATCTCCAAGTCTAATGTTTTGAGAACTGCCCAACTGTTTTCCATAGTGGCTGCAATATTATATATTCCCAGGTAAGTCTGAGGGTTCCAATTTCTTCACATCCTCCCCAACACTTATTTCCTGTTGTTTTTTTAAGTACTGTCATTCTAGTGAGCATAAACTAGTATCTCATTGTGGTTTTAATTTTAATTTTCATAATTACTAATGAAGTTGAGCATCTTTTCATGTATTTATTGATCATTTATATATATATATATATCTTTTCTTTAAAAAAAATTTTTTTTTACATTTATTTATTTTTGAGAGACAGACA